TCCACATAGTCAAAGCTATGGTTTTTCCTGTAGTGATGTATGGAAGTGAGAGCTGTACCATAAAGAAGGCTGATTGCTGAAGAATTGATGCATTTGAATTGTGGTGCTGGAGGAGGCTCTTGAGAGTCCCCTGGACTGCAAGGAGAACAAACCTATCCGTTCTAAAGGAAATCAACCCTGAATGCTCACTGGAAGGACGGATCCTGAAGCTGAGGCTCATGAGAAGAGAAGACTCCCTGGAAAAAATGCTGATGTTGGGAAAGTTTGAAGGCAGGAGGAGAAGGGGACGACAGAGGATGAGATGGTTGGATAGTGTCATCAAAGCGACCAACATGAATTTGACCAAACTCTGGGAGGCAGTGGAGGACAGGAGGGCCTGGAGTGCTCTGATCCATGGGGTCACGAAGAGTCGGACACGACTTGACTAAACAAGAAGAATGAGCTGGAATTTTTTGCATATATGCATTACTGAATGAAGAGTCGGACACGACTTGACTAAACAAGAAGAATGAGCTGGAATTTTTTGCATATATGCATTACTGAATCAGCGACATCTATGTTGGCTTGGGCATGTCATGAGAATGGCTGATGGTCGGATTCCAAAAGATCTCCTGTATGGAGAATTAGTGCAGGGAAATCGCCCCAGAGGGAGACCACAGCTGCGATACAAGGAGATCTGCATGCTGGATTTGAAGGCCTTAGGAATGGACCTCAACAGATGGGTAACCCTGACATCTGAGCGTTCAGCCTGTCCCATTTTGAAGAGACCCTTGTCTAGCAGGCCAAGGCGAATAGGTAGTCCTGAAACCAGCCAAATCAGGGAACTGGACAGGGGACAGACTGCATTTGTCTTCAGTGTGGAAGGGACGGTCACTCTCGAAACGGCCTCCTCAGCCGCACTAGACACTGTTCCAAGACCTCCATGCAGAGCACGATACCATAGTCTCTCGAGACTGAAGGATGCCTAAACAACAGTGAAACGTGATCCACTCGTTCTCCAGAGTGATCCACAGGCTAGGTAATAGGTCTACTGATTGGGTCTTTTGTCTCACAGAAAAGCTTGGGTGTCCTGCCTTTAAAATAATAGTAATAATAAAGCCACACAGGACTGGAACAGGAAGGGGAAGCTGGGCTACTCTGCATGGTAATTCCTCCCTTCCCTTCCTTTAGAGACTTTGGCCTGAAAGACCCCCCCCCCCCCAGGGGTTGGACCGTCAGGTGGCTGTGACTTCTGCTTCTCTCTTGCAAGGGTCTCCCGCTTCCTGAAGCCGGATGAGCTTCATTTAGACCTGGGTGCGTTAAGGGCAAGGCCACGCGCCCTCCACATGTTCCTTTCTTCCTCTCCGCCTGCCCTCCTCGTCTTGACCAGATGTCTCTCTTTCTATCCATAGGCAGCTCCCTGTGGTGTTTCTTTTTTTTTTTCTCAGCCTGGGCAAGAGAGGGGACCCCCCGCTGGTGCTGCCCCCTGCTGGCCGCGACCCACCACAGCTGAGACCGGGTCAGGGGGTTAAGGAGAATCTCAGAAGGCGCAGGAAGCGGTTCACCTGGGGTGAGCGGATGAGGATGCAAGCAACCCTCTGCCCCCCCCGCCCTCCTGCAGGAGATCGAAACTCCCCTGGGGCCGAAAGGAGGGGAAAGCCGACTCTCGAGTAAGGAAACGGCCAGGCCAGGGGGAGGAAGAGCATGAGCAGCCTTTTGCTGCCACGGGATGGCCACGAAGGGACACACCTCAGGACAACAGCTGGATTCCAATGCTCTGCAGCGGCGGGAGGGG